CATACCAAATAATTTGCTGCTCAAAGTATAGTGTCGTGTATATAGATGTATCATGGCTGCAATTTCTGTACAAGACGTTGTGAAGTTGTGAATTCAGTCGCTGTGTAGTGTGAGTTTTTTAATATGTGAGGCAATCTGTAAGAATGAACTTTGTATCGCATCAAACTGCACCGTGTGGAGCGAGGGTGCACCTTCAGGGCCTGTGGTCGCCGTCCGATGGTGTAACCGTTGAGAACATGTCAGACCTTTCGCTATCTAACGTTGAATCGCGCTCGCGACCAAGGGAATTGGGCAATACACAAACGACCATCCATTCTCCATCATCACCGCATCGCACCCACCAACACCATACTCACCCATCACTCGTCTCCTTTCAGCAGGGCAGGATTCCTAGACAAGCAGCAGCATCAGCACAGCACAACTAGCACTAACAAGGTTCCTAGTCAAACGCCTCCAGATTCCTAGCATCCGCTTCTTCCTGTTTTTGTTCATTCTGGTAGTAGAACAAACGCCTGTATCTTCCCCCATTTCGTCAGATTTTCAGCCATAGTGGTGTGTGGACGGCTTTCAAATTCGTAGTAGGTGCTGAATATTTCTCGTTCAGACATCCCGTTGCCAGACAACCACTGATGGGAACTTTTGTGTGATACGCCGCTCCGCGTGGTGTATAGAATCATTTCCCACGTTCGGTTTGGCGTTGCCACCATGCCGACCCTCTATGTCATGAAGGTGAACGAAAATGTTAGCTACCCTGTGCTGTCAACGCGTCCTAGAGTAGTTAGTGAACTTCTAGATTATGCTTCCTGCTTGAAGTCTGTTCGAACTTTTATGGAGTTTAATCCTATCGACTTCATATATTTCCTATGGGGCGTAGTTCTTCACGGTTTCGGTCGAGTTAAGTCACTCTTACGTTCGTCATCTTACGGACTAATTGCGAAACCGAAGTCGCCGCCTTGAGATGCATTTTTCTGGCATCCCACCACGCACCTTCCCATCCATGAAACCTTTCAAATTAAGCTCGTTTCCCCTTTCTCCGCTTCACGTGTCCTCCTCCCTCTCTTCACTCTCCACTCCACTCTTTCCTCCCCCTCCCACTCCTGATTTACTCAGGTGAACTGCAACGGCGTTTTGCGTCGCATCTCATCCCGCTGCTACCCTCCGACGTTCCGTCACGTCAGCCTGCGGATTCGCGCATCTCTCGACATCCCCGCCAGCAAGCCGTTCTCGCTGACGTACACAGACACAGACGGTGACGTCATCGCGCTCTCCACAGACGACGATTTCTATGACGCTTTTATCTTCCAGGAACTGAATCCGTTACAAGTTGACATCAACGTTGACGGAAACGCTGACGTTAACGTGAACGTTAGCGCGGGCAGTGACACCTTGAAGGCAGACGTCGAATATCTTCAAACATCTTGTTCGGACCTCAAAGCTCTCCTTCCAAGCGTCAGCAGCAAGTCGGTCGCTGTCAGCACGGACGATCTGCTCCCAACTCCCTCAAAAGCGTTGGGATCTTTCAAAAGCGTTGACGTTGGCAGTGACACTGTGAAGGCGGACCTTGAATGCCCCATCCTTCCAAGCGTCAGCAGCAAGTCGGTCGCTGTCAGCACGGACGATCTGCTCGCTGCGACCTCCTGTTCCAAGCCGCTCTCCCATCCCTCGTGTTCCGAACAGGACACTGGTGTTCTATCCACCCTTCTGGTAGCTGGTGCCGTTACTGCTGCTCCTGCCGTTACTGCTGTTCCTGCCGTTACTGCTGCTCCTGCCGTTAGTGCTGCTCCTGCCGTTAGTGCTGCTCCTACCGTTAATGCTGCTTCTGGAAACGCATTCAACACTGATGCTACGATCGCTGCTGCTTCAGGAAAGGCGGTTACCACTGGCACCATCATTGACGCTGCTTTGGTAGAAGCGGTTTCGGTTGAGACTGATGCTACAGGGAAAGAAGTTCTCGCTACGACCGTTACTGCCGTTAGTGCTGCTCCTGGCGGCGCAGTCAGCATGGATACTACGACCTCTGATGTTGCTTTAGGAAAGGCGGTTACCACTGGTACCACCGCTGTTGCTGCTTTGGTGAAAGCCGTTTCTGGTGAGACTGACGTTGCTGAGAAAGAAGTTACAGCTACGACCGTTATTGCAGTTTCGGAAAAGCAAGCTGATATTGCTGTTGCTCCTGCAAAGGCGTTATCGCTTGATACTAAGGTGGCTGCTGCTTCTGGAATCGCAGTTACCGCTGATGCCACTTCCGTGAGTGCTGATTCAGAAAAAAATGCCACCGCTGATCCTACAGTCGCAGATGCAACTGATGCAAGCATTGCTGCAGATTCTGGAACAGCAGTTACCACTTATCCTACATTCGATGCGGATTCAGGCAAAGCAGTTGCAACTGATACAAACGTTGCTGCAGATTCCGGAACAGCAGTTACTGACGATCCTACCGCCGATGCTGTTTCAGGCAAAGCAGTCACCACCTACACTACCACTGCTGCTGCTCCACAGAAAGTAGGTACCAGTGACAGTACCGCTACTGCTGCTCCAGGGAAAGCGGGTACAGATGATGCAACAGCTACTGCTGATTTGTTAAAAACAGTCGCCACTGCCACTGCCGCTGCTGCTGCTGCAGGAATCTCAGTTAACACTGACACTACCGCTAATGCCTCTGCAAGAAAGGCAGTTACCGCTACTGCTGCTGCAGAAAAAGCAGTTACCACTGACGTTACCACTACTGCTGCCGTAGGAAAAACGGTTCCCGCTGACGCATTCGCTACTGTTCTTCTAGGAACGGCAGTTACCACAGACAGTACCACTATTGCTGTCTCAGGAAAGGCAGTTATCACTGACACCACCGCTACTGCTGCTTCAGGAAAGCCTGTTACCACTGACACTACCGCTGCTGCTTCTTCAGAGAAAGCAGTTCCCACTGACTCTACCGCTGCTGCTGCTTCAGGGAAAGCAGTTACCACTGATGTTATCGCTACCACCACTGATGTTACCGCTACTGCTGCTGCAGGGAAAGCAGTCACCACTGATGTTACCGCTACTGCTGCTGCAGGGAAAGCAGTCACCACTGATGTTACTGCTACTGCTGCTGCAGGGAAAGCAGTCACCACTGATGTTACCGCTACTGCTGCTGCAGGGAAAGCAGTCACCACTGATGTTACCACTACTGCTGCTTCAAGAAACGCAGTTACCGTTCCTGCAACAGGTACTGCGGTTGCTAGCCTTATAGCAATGTGCTATCCAGCCGCTTCTACCACTGCTGCTGCTGCTGCTGCTGCCAGTTCATCTGCTATTTCATCTGCTACTTCTGGGTTATTTGGTTCTGGGTTTGGTGCTTCCACTTCCAGGTTAGGTGCTTCCGCGTCGTCTGGGTTAGGTGGCTCCCTGTCCAGCTTAGGTGCGTCCACTTCCAAGTTCGGTGCTTCCACTTCAAAGCTTGGTGGTTTCACCCCCGAGCCCGGTGGCCCCACTTCCTTGTTTGATGCTTCCACTACGAAGCTTGGTGCTTCTACTTCAAAGCTTGGTGCTTCCACTTCAAAGCTTGGTGGTTTCACCCCCGAGCCCGGTGGCCCCACTTCCTTGTTCGATGCTTCCACTACGAAGCTTGGTGCTTCTACTTCAAAGCTTGGTGCTTCTACTTCAAAGCTTGGTGCTTCGACTTCCAATTTTGGTGCTTCCACTTCTAAGAAAGGTGGTTCCAAGTCCAAGCTCGGTGGTTCCACTCACACGTCTACCTCTGGCTTCGGCGCTTCTGCGTCTCCTACCTTTTCTAACGCTACTACATCATCGCCGTCTGGTCCATCCGCTTGTCCTCCCGCTGCTCCTGCTTATGCTGGTTATTCGCCTGGTTTTTTCCCCTTTCCTGCTTATGGCTCTTATGCTCCCGGTTACGGTTACGGCTACTCGGCTCCAGCTGGTTATACTCCCGGTTATGGATACGGTTACTCGGCAGCATCTGGTGACTACCCTGGTGAATACGACCCTGATGATGACTACCATTGCGATGACTACTCTGCGCCTGTGGGCCCCCCATATGAGACACAAGCAAGCCTATCCACGTTTCAGGAAGCTGCCTACTCCAAGCCCAAGAAAAATAAGTCAAAATCCAAGTCTAAGAAATCTGCCACGTTCAATTCTGAGCGGTATTGGTGATGGTGAGGAGGCAGCAACAAACGGTGTGTGCATGTGATGCACTTGTGCCAGTATATGAAGTGATATCCGGCCCATTCCTTACAATACGGTAAGTGTGTGCTCGGTATTGTGCTATGTATGTGATACACACAAGGCGGAAGCTTTTTGTTTGTGCCATGATATCCATAGTCTGTTCCATTTCCTGTAGTCAATTCGTAGTGTGATTCAAATATCCACACGGGCGGAAGTCTTTCTGTTGATGCTTTAAAGAACAATGAGCCATTCCATTACTCATTCATCAGAGCTCGACTGGTATTTAATTTCATACACATAGTAACACAATGACAACTGGAAGCTACGATATAAGTGTGAAAACATGCTCCTTGTTTGTGTTGGAAACAATAAGTCCTAAGTGCGCTTCTGTCAAAATCCAAGGCACCAAGCGAAGCAGTCCCAATCGAAGCATCGAGTCAACCTCGGAGGTTAGGGTAACCGCCTGGAGGTTACGAGAAAGTCAAAGGTCGCTGACCTTTGACTCGACAAATACAGCGCGACAGTTAAGGACACACAACTGACTCGTTGCAGAGCAGTTGCCCGAGTCGCACTATATCGAACCGCAACAGCAAAACAGTTATCTATCTACCTATTCGTATTCCCTGTACTCTTATATAAATCCTTGTACTTGCTTGTTTAATTTAATCTACTTTGCTCTCACACACCAGTGCAAGGTCGGTTCACAATCCTCATTAAACGCTTCCGCTATTACAAGTTTCTACCCAAGAGTTCTCCTCTGCAAAGATCCTAAGGGCTATTTTTCAGCCCAACAGTTTGGACCTCTCCTGTGCCTAGACAACCGCCCTCACACACAGCTAAAAGTCTGTGGGCAAGAAAGAGGGAAACGTGCCGCCGCTCTTGGGGAGCAGCAGCAACAGGCTGCCGTTGAGCAGCATCCACGCGATCACGAATCGGCCTCTGCCAAGTGGCGAGATCTCGTCCAGTGATGGGAGCTCCTCGCCGTTGCGGAAAGCAAGGATGATGAAGGCCCAGAAGAGGCAGAGCACACTGCCGGAGAAACCACCCAGTGCTAGCAGGGCTAGAGTGATAAGTGTGGTGATCTTGGCCTTGCGCCTGCCGAATAGTGCCTGCATAGGAGGGCATGGTGATAGAAGGCAAGGGGAAGCAGGGAAGGCGAGGATGAGGAAGGCCCAGAAAAGGCACAGCACACTGCCTGAGAAACCGCCTAGGGCTAGTAGCGCTAGAGTGATAAGTGTGGTTATCTTGGCTTTGCGTTTGCCAAATAGGGCCTGCATAGGAGGGCATGGTGATAGAAGGCAAGGGGAAGCAGGGAAGGCGAGGATGATGAAGGCCCAGAAGAGGCACAGCACACTGCCGGAGAAACCATCCAGGGCCAGAGTGATGAGAGTTGTGATCTTGGCCTTGCGCCTGCCGAACAGAGCCTGCATTGAAGGGAAGCGGGAGCAAAGGCAAGGGCAGGGAAGGAGAGGATGATGAAGGCCCAGAAGAGGCAGAGCACACTTCCTGAAAAGCAGCCTCCCAGGGCCATCCAGATGCCCAGCTGGTCGCAGCAGGTTCAGTCTGTTTTTTTTTTTTTTTTTTTGAGAATTCCCAAAAACAGATCCAGCTGGTGGCAGCAGGTTCAGCACCGTAATGATAAACCTCTGCAGCCCTGCGAATGCTCGAAAGTTCACCAGCATACCTAGGCCCGGCCTGGCTCGGCCCGGCCTGGCTCGGCCCGACCTGGCCCCGCCCCGCCCCGCCCCGGCCTGCCCAGCCCAGCCCAGCAGCCTTATAAACGCTACAGGAATTTTTAATCCATCTGCCTAACCAGCAACATCCACTGCACCCACCGACCTGCACCGTGTGGCCCCCATCCAGCTGCCCAGCCGGCAGCAGATTCAGCGCCGTGATCACAAATGCCAGCAGCAATGCAACGCCAGAGGATTCACTGGTACGCCCAGCCCTTCCACGGCGTTGGGCATGACGTTGCCCAGGTCGCTCCAGTCCCAGCCTATGCCTACATAAGCCGTATCATTGTAAGCAGCAGCACCCAGAGAGGCTGTTCCCTCGGCCCCAACCCTATTGCATCGTACCTGCACCATGTGGCCCCCATCCAGCTGCCCAGCCGGCAGCAGATTCAGCGCTGTAATGACCAACCCCAGCAGCCCTGAAAACGCCAGAGGGTTAACCGGCACGCCCAGCCCCTCCACAGCGTTGCGCATGACGTTGCAAGCAACTTCACCCACAGAGGTTGTGTCTTATACACCCACCCACCCACTCACCTGCATACGCGTCCACATACCTGCACCATGTGGCCCCCGTCGAGCTGTCCAGCAGGCAGCAGATTCAGCGCCATGATCACAAACCCTAGCAACCCTGCGAACGCGAGGGGGTTGACGGGCATGCCCAGCCCCTCCACGGCATTGGGCATGACGTTGCCCAGGTCATTCAAGGTGAAGCCTATGACCTATGTAAGCCGTTACCTGTGCACGCACCACCAGCTATAGAGGCTGGCTGCTCTTCTGCAGCACCCACCCACCTGCACCATGTGGCCCCCATCCAGTTGTCCAGCCGGGAGCAGATTCAGCGCTGTAATCACAAACCCCAGCAGCCCTGCGAAAGCTAGAGGGTTGACGGGCACACCCAACCCTTCCACAGCGTTGGGCATGACGTTGCCCAGGTCGTCAGAGTATGGTCCGATGACGTTCTGAACGAAGGAGAGGAGGAGATTGGGGGCGAAGAAGGACGGCTCGATGTACCTGGTGGAGGGATTGGAGGGGGGAGAGTGGGGGGAGAGAGGCACAAGGAAGGAGTATGGGCCGATGATGTTCTGGAGGAACGAGAGCAGCAGGTTGGGGGCGAAGAAGGACGGCTCGATGTACGTGGTGGGACATGGGGGGAGAAAGACGGTGGAAGAGGGAGAGGAGGGAAGAGCGGTGACGAATAAAGAGAATGTGGAAGAGTGTAGGCATGACATTTTGTTGATGATGGGGAATGCAAGGGGAGGGATGGAGAAGAGGATTTTATTTCGAATATGTGTGATGGAAACAAAATGATTCATGAGGTGTCAATGCATGAGAGCTATTCTTAAGTACTTCCTGTACAGTAACTCCTCTGATCGACCTTTTGAACACATGGAATGCGAACAGTGCAGCCTGCATGGCATGCATATGCTCTTCTTCGATGCTCCGGCCACCTGACAATAGCGCAGAACAAATTCTTTGGCTCTTTGTAAACAAATACTGCAACAACCAAAGAGGATGTTTCACGCTGTTGGCAGGTGGACGGACCAGTCGAAAGAGAGCATATTCAAGGCCAGATAGTCCGCCGTGTTTGTATTTTATGTGTTCATGAGGGCCGACCAGAAGGAGTCACTGTACCGAAAGTACTTCGGAGATGCTCTCGTGCGTAGATGTCTAGTAAAGCGAGTCGTGCATGAATATTATGAGTTTCCGATCCATGTGTGCTGTATATCGAGAGGAAAACGAGGAAAGCAACTTCGGGAAATGAGATATATAACATTCAAAGTGAGAAAGGGGCAGCTAGTAGCTTCTCTTGATCACACGGCATTGAGGGCAAATGATAAGCAAGACAAAGTGGAAGTGGAAGTGGAGTGGGTGGCAGAGATTATGGCAAGCATAATGTGCAAGTTACAGACAATATTATAAACATAATGTGAATGTAAAACAGATGTGCAAACGTGACAAAAGTTCGACGTTGGAAAACCAGAGCTTTTGAAGGCACCTCCTTATACCTAACTGAAAGGAATTGTTGATGCCAAGGAAGGGACTCACATGGGGTCGATGCCCCCATCAACACCCCCATCAGCTGCCAGCGCCACACATGCCAGAATGAATGACGTCATGAATGACCCGACCGCCTTGGCTGCACACATGTCGAACAGGGCCTGATGGGAGTGGGGTGGCGGGAAGAACGGGGATGGGGCGTTTGAGGAGAGGCGGTGCAGCAACCAATGCGCCCATCAGCTGCCAGCGCCACACACGCCAGAATGAATGACGTCATGAATGATCCCACCGCCTTGGCTGCACACATGTGCCTAGTGAACAGTGCCTAGTGAACAGTGCTGGTGAACAGTGCCTAGTGAACAGTGCCTAGTGAACAGTGCTGGTGAACAGTGCATAGTGAACAGTGCCTAGTGAGGGTGGGGAGGAGGGGAGGCCGTGGGAGAAGGGGGTACGATGGGGCCCTAGAAGAAAGATAATAGAAAAGATTCTCACTTGTAAAGGCGAAGTGAAGGAGAGTGGGAAGAAAGAAGATGGGGCCTTTGAGGAGAGATGGGCCCAGGAGGGCCTCGAAGCGAGGGGCAGGAGGGCCCAGGAGGGCCTCGAAGCGAGGGGCAGGAGGGCCCAGGAGGGCCTCGAAGCGAGGGGCAGGAGGGCCCAGGAGGGACTCGAAGCAAGGGGCAGTGCCGTGCCGTGACAACCCAGGGGACCATCCCTCCCTGCCGCAGCCCCTCTCCTCGCTCTGTGCACTCCCCCTACTGCCCGCTTTACTCCCTACCATCTACTCTCCCTCCACTTGCTACCTACCTCACCCCCATTGCTAACCACGTACCTGGGAGGAGGGCAAGAGGGACTCGAAGAGAGTGGCAGCCCAGAGGGCACGAGGGACTCAAGCAAAGCTCAAACAGAAATCTGTTCAGCAGCCCCATCACATACACGCCCTACCGTCCACTCCGCCATTCTGCCTTGCCGCTCAAATCACTCCCTTATCCCCCACACCATCACTCACCACACCACGTACCTGAGAGGAGGGCAGCAGGGACTCGACGCGAGTGGCAGTGCCGTGGCAACCCAGGGGGCCGGGGAGGAGGTAGGGCGGGGGAGAGCTTTACTCCATACCCCTCAGGTCACTTCCTTGTTCCCCACCCCTCTCCCCACCATCCACCCCGCAGGGCATCACCTACCCGGGAGGAGGGCAGCAGGGACTTGAAGCTAGTGGCAGTGCCGTGGCAGCCCAGGGGGCCGGGGAGGAGGTAGGAGAAAGAGAGGTGCACCCTAACCTCCCGGCCCCCATCCTACTCACTGCCTTACCCCCCAACTCACTCCCATGCCCCTCTTCCCACCACGTACCCGTGAAGATGGTAGGAGGGCCTCAAAGCGAGTGGCAGTGCCGTGGCAGGGGCCGGGGAGGAGGTAGGGCGGGGAGAGGTGCACACTATACCCCCCTTCCCTCTCATTCCCTTCTACCATCCATCCACCCCACCTACACGGGAGGAGGGCAGCAGGGACTCGAAGCGAGTGGCAGTGCCATGGCAGCCCAGGGGGCCGGGAAGGAGGTAGGGCGGGGAGAGCTTTACCCCATATCGCCCCGCCATGATCCGCTGGAAGATCTGTTGGTGCAAGAGTGGGGGAAGAATGCAGGGGGGGTGGGGGGGGGGGGAAGAGGAGGGAGGAAGAGGCATGGTCATGCAATTGGAGCGTGGGGAGAGCTTTACCCGGTAGCGACCTGCCATGATCCACTGGAAGAGCTGTGGTAAGTGGGGTTTTGGAAGTGTTGCTGGGGTGCAGGAGAAAGAGGGAGGAAGAAGCATGGGCAAGCGAGGTGGAAAAGCTGGGGGTGTGGCTGGCTGGGCGCAAGGTGGGCAAGGAAGAAGCAATGAGCGAGGCCATGACGGAGGGAAAAGGTGAGGGATGGGGTGGAGAGGTGCACGTAGTAACAAAGAACAAAACGTTTTGTGGACACGTTTGTGAAATCATTGGGTTTGAAGTAAGGGCGTGGTGTGTGGTGTGAAATACTGCGAAATCTGCCAACTCCCCAACATGAATGATTGCCACAAGGCTGAGTGCGAGGGGGAGGGCGTGTGCCGACTCCCCAGTGCCAGAGGGGTGGAGGTTGGCGCCAGAGATGGTGGCAGTGGTGAAGAGGCAGGCGGCATATGAGTGGAGAGACACAACTGGATAGCTGCGGGTTTGACTGAAAGCGCCACTAACCTCACCCACTCCCACAATGGCCGCGAGAACACGAGCGTAAGGGAGGGCGTGGTGAGCTGACTCCCCAAGCCCAACTTTATAGGGGTCGAAATTGACACCAGAGACATTGGCAGTGGTGGCGAGGCAGCCCAGGAGGGAGAGCAGCATGAGGGCAGTATGAGAGGCCAGTGGGAGAGGGCAGACGAAGCACTCACCTCTCCTACACCGATGACTGTGGCAAGGCCGAGAGTTAAAGGCAGGGCGTGGTGAGCTGACTCCCCAAGCCCAACTTTATAGGGGTCGAGATTGACGCCAGAGACAGTGGCAGTGGTGGCGAGGCAGCCCAGGAGGGAGAGCAGCATGAGCGGCCAGCGGGAGAGGCCGGTGAGAGTGGTGAGGGCGAGACGACGATCGATGGAGGACACTGGTTGCACTATGCACACCTGAGAAATGGGTCAATGGGGAAAGAGGAGGAAAGCGGGGAAAGGGGAAGCAGAGAAGGGTGCAGGTGGGGGATATAAGGGAGAAGAGGACGGAGAGCAACAGCAGGGGCCAGCGGGAGAGGCCAGTAGTGTGGTGAGGGTGAAACGTTGATCGATGGGAGGATACTTGTTGCACTATGCACACCTGATGGGGATGGGGTGAGGATGGGGAGAGGAAATGGAAGACGAAGGTTGGCCAGAGGGAGCGAGTGGTAAAGTGGGTGAAGTGAAGGATAGGCGGCAAGTGATGGATTTGAGAGTGTGCCGAGAAAATCATTTTTGAAAAATCTTATAAGTGATTTTCATTAAGTGGGTGAAGTGAAGGATAGGCGGCAAGTGATGGATTTGAGAGTGTTACAAGAGTGACTTAAGAGTGGCCCGACAATGACCCTAAACTGACGCTAGAACTACCCGAGAGTGGCCCGAGAGTGAACGGAGTGTGACCACAAGTGATAAATCTGAAAGTGATCCGAGATTGACCCGAGAGTAACCCGAGATTGACCCGAGAGTGACCCGAACCGAGTGTGACAAGAAAAAACCTGAGGGACATGTCTCCTTCCTCGCACGACGGCCCTCCTCCATGTGCTCGTCTTTCAGAAAGAACACAGTCGCGGGGCGCCCAGCACCGTTGCCCAGCTTCGCCTGCTGCCTCACCACTCTCTCTCATTTGACCAGCTAGTGAAGCACATGCACCCCACACCCCTCTCACCACCCACGCACCTGCTTCTCCCGCTGCTCGTCTTTCAGGAAGGAAACCGCCAGGGGGCACTCAGCAGCTCGGCATGTGACCACCACCACCACTGCAACAATCCCCTGATAAACATACCTCTCTCCTCGCACACACGCACGCACCCACGCACCTCCTCCTCCCTCCGCTCGTCTTTCAGGAAGAACATGGCCCCGGGGCACCCAGCAGCCTCGCCCAGCTTCGCCTCCAGCCTCTCCCTTCATACTTGCCCTGCCAATGACGGATATGCACCCCGCACCCCTCTTACTACCCTCCCAGAAAGCACGCCTCATTCTCCCTCCGCTCGTCTTTCAGGAAGAATACGGCCCCGGGGCACTCAGCAGCCTCGTCCAGCTAGGTTGCTCCCCACCCAGCACCACAACAATCAACTGACGGACTCGCCTCCTTGCTCGCACCACGCACCGCGTGTTTGAGAGTTCTCAGAAAAACCTTGCTCGCACTACGCATCTCCTTCTCTCGCCGCTCATCCTTGAGAAAGAAAACCGCCACGGGGCACCCAGCACCCTCGCGCAGCTTTGTCTCCAGCCTCTCCCCTCTCACTTGAACCTGCTAGTGCTGCATATGCCACTCACATCCCCTTCACCACAAGCAAGCACACACCTTCTTCTCTCGCCGCTCGTCTTTCAGGAAGAAAACCGCCACGGGGCAACCAGCACCCTCGGCCAGCTTTGTCTCCAGCCTCTCCCGCGCGTCCGCCACGTCAGCAGCCCGCAGGTTGCCCGTGAACAGTGCGCCCGAGCCGTATGGGCGGGAATCAGTGGGCCAGAAGTCGGTGTAGGAGAAGCAGGTGCGGAGCTGAGGGGGGTAAGAGGAGGGGGTTGGGGGGCGGGGAGGAGAGAGGTAAGGAAGGGGAAGGGAAGGGAATGCAGGTTTCCCGTGAACAGTGCGCCTGAGCCGTAGGGACGGGAGCCTGTGGGCCAGAAATCCGTGTAGGAGAAGAAGGTGCGGAGCTGAGAGGGTGAGGGTGGGATGGGAGGGTGGGGTTGGGGAGAGGTAAGAAAGAGGTGAGAAGGTATGGGAAGGAGAGGAGATAGGGGCCGTGAACAATGCGCCTGGACCGTAGGGTAGGGAGCCAGTGGGCCAGAAGTTCGTGCAGGAGAAAAAGGTGCGGAGCTATTGGTGAGAAGGGAAGAGGCGAAAAAAGAATCAAGAGGGAATGGGGAGGGAAGGGGTGCAGAAAAGGACCATCAGTGTGATCTGCCGTGTTCGCCCCCTGAGAAAACAAAGTTGCAACCTTCCGTCCCTCGTGTGAAGATCAATGCCGACAATGAAATCATCGTCAAAGGTACCCATGCAAGCGACTGAAGGTTGCACGTTCTTCCCCAGGGGACGAACACGGCAGACCACGCTGATGGTCCTCTTCTGCAACTGCACACAAAAAGCAGGAATTTCATTGAGATGGGCACACAGGAATGACTTTTGAGGCGCCTCAAAAGGAATTTCATTGAGATGGGCACACAGGAATGACGGTCACATAGCATCGCTCGCAGACGTACTTACTCTCATTAACGCTCCCTCAAGTGACTTTCACAGGTATACCCATCTCTCACCGACTTTCACACACACCCATCTCTCATTGAATTACGCCCATACCCATCTCTCACCAAACCTCACACACACCCATCTCTCACCGAATCTCACTCACCTGAGTGGTATCTATCCAGCTTGTCAACTGCTCCCTTCCTGCCCCATCACCCGCGAGTGACTCGGGTGATTCCTCATTGCTCATCTCCCCCTCCCTGCAACGAGTCTCACCTTCGCAGTATCCAACTTGTCAACTGCCCCCTTCCCACCATCGTCAATGGCAAATACCCTCCACCAGCCCCCTCAGTAAACGCCCCCCCACCCCACTTCCTTCACTGCCCCTTCATCATTCCCTTGAGTAACACTCCCACGCATACCCACCCCTCACCGGCTCTCACCTTGGCGATATCCAGCTTGTCAGCTGCCCCTTTCCCACCATCGGTGACAGCAAACGCATCCTCTATAGCCTCCGCCAGCCCCATCAGCAGACCTCCTTCAACCTCGCACACACGTACGTGACTGACACGCATACCCATACCAAAGCCACCCCTCACCGATTCTCACCGGCTCTCACCTTGGCGATATCCAGCTTGTCAACTGCCCCTCTTCCAGCATCGGTAACACCAAATCCGTCCTCTATGGCCTCAGCCAGACCCATTTGATTTTGCAGGGTGTTTTTGAGAATTCTTGAAAATATCCAGCTTGTCAACTGCCCCCTTCCCTCATAGGTAGCACCAAATCCGTCCTCTATGTCCTCCGCCAGCCCCATCAGGGAGCACCCTTCAGAACCCCATCACCACCCCTTCATAGCCTCTTTCACCCGCCTCACCAGTCCCTTGAAACATCTCAACCCAATAGCAACCCCTCACCGGCTCTCACGCACATATCCACCCCTCGCCCGCTCTCACCTTGCTGATATCCAGCTTGTCAACCGCGCCTCGCCCCTCGCTGGTAGCACCAAACGCGTCCTCTATAGCCTCCGCCAGCCCCATCAGCAGTCCGCTCTTCACCGCTTCCTTCACCGCTCCTTTTACCGCCACTTCACCGCGTCTTTCATCCCCCTTTCACCAGTCCCCTGATTAATTCATCTCACACATGTCCCCACCCCAAAGCAACCCCTTACAGACTCTCACCTTGGCGATATCCAGCTTTTCAACGCCACCCCGCCCCTCGCTGGTAACACCAAACGCGTCCTCGATGGCCTCCGCCAGCCCCATCAGCAGTCCACCCTTCACCGCCCCCTCGCCCTCCTTCCCGCTCTCCCCACTGCCGCCACTGGTGCCGCCAGCGCCGCTTGCGCTGGTTGGCGGCGTCCCCGCTTTTCTCGCTGCCTGCCGCAGAGCTTGCTGTCTCCGCCGTTCCTTCTCCCTCTCCTTCTCTTCATCGATAGCCTTATCTTTCTCTGCTCGTGCTTGCACAGGACCGCTGCTCTCGCTAACCACGTCGGATTTCACTGAACCGACAGCTTTACTATCGGCTTCCGAACCGCCATTCGAAGGCCCATCCTCTGCCCTCACTCGCACGATGCGCCTCCTAAATCCGCGGTTCCGACTTTCTAGTCGCTCTCCTAATGCTGAAGCAGGGTTTCGTATCGTCAAATTTGACTTTCGCACAAGAATGGAGGCCGATTTTGGTGAGATCTCAAGGGCATTTCCGTTCGGTACGCTGCACGTGATGTACCGCAGAGGCAGGGATGCTGCCAGTCTCGCCATAGCCGCAGCCATGATCATTAGAAAGTCTACTGATCCGCGAACAGGATGAAATAGGAAATCGAATTGTGGCCGGGAAACAGGAAGAAGAAAGCGTAATACTTCGTGATCGGGGCTAATAAAAGTGACCAAATCCGCCCCTATGAGAGATGGGACACACCATATAACCCCTCTCGTTTGTTACGAGGAGAGGAGGCATGAGCATCAGGCAGTTGCGAAGCGGCTAATCTAGGACTCAGGAAAAGCCGCCATGGCTCCTAGCGCAAAGCATTCACAACAGCTGCAAATGCGCCCCGAGCTCATCAGACTTCTCGAATTTCGAGGCTTTTCACCGAACCGAATCTAGGTGCTGTAATTGGTTAGTCTGCGTGGCAAGAAGAGCTAGACTCTTCCGAACCTAGAACACGACAAGCCAGACTCTTCTGTTCGGCTTCCCCGAGGCTCTATCTGGAGACTAGAGCAACGAATCCTGGTGCGGGATGATGGATGGAAGGCTAAGCGCGATTCGTCAGATGGGTTCGGCTTCGCCAAGGCCAATACCCAAGAACGCAGCAGATTGGCTGCACCACGCCACGTCAAGGCTCCCTGGATGAGTCCGAAATCTGGTGGCCAACACGGATTTGAATGTGGACATTGTCCAAGAGCTGACGCAGGAATTCGTTCAATATCGTTCATGACGCAGATTAGTGTATGATTTCTATTGACCTCATATATACGGTATAAGCTCACAAAGCTATAGAATGGGCATTTTCTTTCACCGAACTCTGTTATGTACATTCCCTGCATTTCATGAGCCGGGGCCCGGGGAAGGGGGGGGGGGGGGGGGGGGGGGGGGGGGGGGGGGGGGGGGGGGGGGGGGGGGGGGGGGGGGGGGGGGGGGGGAGGTGTTTACACAGATGCTTCTGATGCTGTTGAAAAGTAATATGCACGATCCTGCAATAGAATATGGCCATGACGTTACGGACCCAGATACACCGCGAATTCTCATGTGATAGTTCAGCCTGAATGCGCAGAAGTGGTTGGCATTTGCCATACAAAGTGTGTTGACGAAACTGTTAGATTATCAAGCATATAGCAAAAGCATATTTTGGTGTAGCAACTGCACTGCATGATATGTACAATATTTTTATGACTGTACAATATGTGACTCTCAAGGCTGCAGTGCAGAGTGTAACATGGCCTTTATCTCAAGTGACGTATTCTGCACCACAAATGAAAGCTTCACTTGGCACTGCAGGATGCCAGTAGACTAGAGGCGAAATAGAGCGGAATGGCATTTAGATTTTATTAATAAACATTGCCTTAGAATGTGATCTAGGATGATGTTTCTCTGATCATCCAAGGTTGTGGACCACGCGCAGCTTCACCCTGTAGTAGCGGCACTGCAGGATGCCACTGGAGGCGAAATAGAGCGGAAAAGTCTCCCAGATGGCAGTCACCTTGTACCTGCCAGCCACAGAGAGATGGTGAGGGATGGCATTCACGACAGTGAGTTTTTTGCGACGCATTGAAACTAGCATGCCACTGGAGGCGAAATAGAGCGGAAAAGTCTCCCAGAAGGCAGTGACCTTGTACCTGCACAGAGAGAATGAGGGGCGGCATTCACAACAATGAGATTCTGATAGTGTTTGTGACGGCTCAAAACGAGGATGCCACTCGAGGCAAAATAGAGCGGAAAAAACTCCCAGATGACAGCCACCTTGTACCTGCCAGCCACAGAGAGATGGTGAGGGGCGGCATTCACAACAGTGAAATTCCTTTTGAGGCGCCTCATGAAAAGTTCTCCCAGATGGCAGTGACCGACCTTGTACCTGCCAGCCACAAGGAGATGGTAAGGGATGGTATTCACAACAGTGAGATTCCGATAAAGTGTTTTGCGACTTCTCAAAACGAGGATGCCACTCGACGCTAGGTAGAGGGGATAACATTTCCAAAAGACAGCTACCTTGTACATGCCAGCCACAGCGAGATGGTGAGGGATGGCATATAGTGGGATTTCGATTGACATGGATGGCAGAAACTGAGATTGCTGGTGATAGCGATAAAAGCCAACGGTGGTGCAGAAGCTAGGGCAGGGCTGATGGGCAGTGGTGCTGATGGGCAGTGGTGCTGATGGGCAGTGGTGCTGATGGGCAGTGGTGCTGATGGGCAGTGGTGCTGATGGGCAGTGGTGCTGATGGGCAGTGGTGCTGATGGGCAGTGGTGCTGATGGGCAGTGGTGCAGAAGCTAGGGCAGGGCTGATGGGTTGAAGTGGCAAGCAAGTCGCAGGAAGGGTGCCAAGCCACAACCAGCAACTGGCTAGTTGATCTCAAATCAGAGAGGCCTCGCAGGAACGTGCACCTCTCTAAAATCACTTCAATACAAGCCACAGCCAGCTAGTTGCTGGTGGTTCGCTGCAATAATGGAATCTGCAGGGGGGTTATGATTTCAGGAGGTGCCGAACTGTTGCTTGCCATGAAGAACAATCAAACATGAAAAAAAAAACGTTAAAAACATGGATATTCATTATTAATTCATTCTGAAACTATCCTGCCCAGAATCTTTTCATACTGCCATGAGGTTACCCAAACTACCCCATTATTTTCGCGTGCTGCCCCAACTCACGTGTACTGCCCGCCAACAACAAGCGGTCGGAGGCGCATTGCCCGAGTGAAGTCACAATTCTTGAACGCCTTCTCGTCGTCCATGATCCACAGATCATGCCATGCCAAGTCTGTCCATTTGAAGACTGCGAGCAGTGTGGATAGAAGCAATTATCATTCCACATGAGCACTTTCTCATCGTCCATGATCCACAGATCATGCCATGCCAAGTCCGTCCACTTGAACACTGAGGGGTTGAGATGGTTGAACAGAGGAAATCAGGCATGAGATGATCATCATGATGAGCACAGAACAATCCACATTGACCATCTCCTCACCACATCGTCGATGACCCACAGATCATGCCATGCCAGGTCTGTCCACTTGAACACTGAGGGATGGGCACGGGGAAAAGACACATAGTACAGTTAATGGTAATTGGATAATAGTTCACTGCATCATGCCACATGCGCTATGGCTCTATTGCTGATGATGCATGGTGATGGCTTATAATGATATTGCTTGGTGATGGTTCATGGGTGATGATAAAAATGGAAAAGGAAAAGAAGAAGAAAAACAGATACTCGTATAATTCATTCAACAATAAATTTGAGAAAGGCATGGGTGGAGAGGCATGCACAGTCATAATGAGTGGAACTTTAAGTTAACCTTATTTCATCTGGTCACACAGTCACACACACAAGTCATATTCCGTGGAACAATGGAACTCACGGTTACTCCACTTTCACGCAGCAAAATACGAAGTGGTGTGAGTTGGAGAGGTGTGATATGGAGAGTCAAGTGGTATGGTATAAATCCGAATTTGGAGGACCTACCGTTTGTATCGCCACGATTGATCAAATTTTTAGACGTCTCAAAAGGTGTGATATGGAGAGTCAAGTGGTATGGTACAAATCCAGGTTTGGAGGACCTACCATTTGTATCGCTACGAGTGACCAAATCCGGAGGCCGCACCCCTCTTAACCTGAGGAGATCCCACTCACTGACTGTGTGTGTGCCTCCACTCACTGACTGTGTGTGTGCCTCCACTCACTGACTGTGTGTGTGCCTCCACTCACTGACCATGCGACCTACCGATTGTATCGCCACGAGTGACCAAATCCGGAGGCCGCACCCCTCTCGTCCTGACAAGATACCAAGGGATGCTGTAGGTGGCGGCCTGGTGGGTGGAAAACAGATAGCCAGGGGAAACAGAGAGCCAGGGGAAACAGAGAGCCAGGGGAAAAAGAGAGCCAGGGGAAAACATAGTTCAGAGCCAAGGGAAGGGTGGTGGTACCCTTGGTATCCTTGCTTGCTACCCACTATGCGATGGCTTACGGGGCAGCCTGGTGGGTGGAGGGTAGAATCCTTCCGACCCAGCAAGGTGTTTCGAAGGATAAGAAGTCTTTTTAAGGGTTGGTGAACAGGGCGACCTAATGTGTGGAAGTAACAGTTAGAATCACACGAAGATGACTGATAATGCACTGGCAGACTGGACATATAGTGACAGCACTTGCTGTTTAGTTAGAGTATAATGCATATCAATCAACACTTGATGTTCTGCTCTCTGGGACCCCATATAGCCAGCCCCCGTTTGAACAACGAAATGTGTCGAAGTGAAATAATGTGAAAGCACGAAGACACGAGATGTCACCAGCAAAGGCGACTGTTAAGAATGCTGGAAAACGAAAGTGGCGACAGGGTTACTTCCAGCAGGAGAGGCCACGACTTACCTGTGCTTGCTGCAGCCAGGCAGCTGCGCATGGAGGGGGAAGGGGAAGGGGAAGGGGAAGGGCGGAGGAAAGGACGGGGGAGGGAGGGAAGGGAAGGTGGGGAAGGGGGGGGGATGGGGAAAAGGGATATGAGAGATGATGGAAAAAGAGCAGCAGGGAGGGAAACGGGAAGGGAGAAAGGGAAGGAGGAAGGGGGCGACGGAGGGAAGGAGGGAGGGACGTAGAGGGGAGGATGGGACGATTGGGGAAGGTGATAGTGGGAACGCGGAGGGATTGACGGGGCGGGAACGAGGGGGCGAAGTAAGGAGGGGAGGGGAGATGGGGCGAAGGGGAGGTGAGAAGCCTGGAATAAGCATGTGACTATGAAGCGCGTGACTGTGAAGCGCGTGACTGTGAAGTGCGTGACTGTGAAGCGTGTGACTGTGAAGCGCATGACTGTGAAGCGCGTGACTGTGAAGCGTGTGACTGTGAAGCTGATTGAGCCGATTAACTAGCTGTCAGGAGGGAAACGATATTCCGCATCTGAGAGGGGAGGAGCGTAAAAAGGAAATCAAAGACATTGCATGTTGAGTTGCTTACTCGTCAGTAGGATCGAGGTGCCGACGAGAAAGGCGAGGGCGGCGCCGACTGATCGCGCCAGTAGTAACAGCAGCAGCAGCAGCAGCAGCAGCAGCAGCAGCAGCAGCAGCAGCAGCAGCTTTCAGCGGACACGAACGAGGTGTGAGGCGAGAAGCAGTACTAATGCGATTCTGCTTGCGTAATCGGTAACAAGCAAGACTCAAAGGACACAGCTGTACGGACAAACGCTTCGCAGCGTGGGCTAGCGCTGTCTCTGGAGACCTCGCGACTGCACGGAGAGAACGACTGCTAGCGCTGTCAACTTGAGCGTCAGGCAAACAGCTGCTTGGGTAAACTCAGATCGGTCGTTTAAATTGGTCGTAAGATTGATATGCGTCACAGAGCTGAGTTCGGTCCCTTTCTTGCGCACTCGGAACGCCCATCCGACAGACGGACGGAAAGATCCATTCTCCGCGCACAACGCTGACAACGCTGACCACGCTGTCAGCGTGGTGGCAATCCGCGCGCAACGAAGCACCGTTACAAACATCGTCACAGAAAACTTGCGCGAACGGGCAGGTTACCGGGTCCGCGAGAGCCAGCGTGACTCGCCTACAGGGGTCTGTCGAAGCAACGCGCGCCGGCGCGCCCATACGAAGGGTTGCTTAGAACGGTAAGGTAAGGTAAGGTAGGGTAGGGTAAGGTAGGCACTCCCAGTTGAATTCTTTTTGGAGGATCTGAGCCAGGGCAAGGGAACATTCCGAAATCTCATGTGAGGGTTACCTGAAGCACAGGTTGGGTCTTCATAAGGCTCTTCATTCGGCAGAGACCGCCATTCGTGGTCTGATTGGCGAGCGGTGGAAGCGTGTAGGCAAAAGGCAAGGGAAGATTCGGCGCGCTGATATGAGGGTTGTCTTCACAGGGCGCTTCGTTCGACAGAGACCGCCATTCGTGGTCTGAGCAGGGAGCAAGGCGGAAAGCAGGGCGGACAGCAGGTCGGAAAGAATGTCGGAAAGAAAGGCGGAAGCAGAAACAACACGCAGCGTGAAATTGAGCTACATCGCGGTGGTTACATACTTCTGTGATGAAACAAGATGCAGCGTGAGTGTCGGCGCCGCTGAGCTGAAAGCATGCCCTAGAGAATGAATCATAAACTTGTCGCTATTCATCAAGTTGATGTCGCTGTGCTAGCTATGACTGTCCCTACCGCAATCGCTGCCGCTAAGCGTAAGGGGCGCAAGAAATGAGAACCCAAGGAAGTCGGTGGACGACATTCCAGTGAGCTTGTTCCACGTGCATCCATGCTGCTGCTTGGTTTCCTACTGTTTCAGGCTTTACCTTCGGTACTCGGTAGAATCTGGGAATTTGGGGTGACGGGGGGAGGAGACGCGAAAATGTTTCCGAGGTGCCCCCACCAACCGCCACCCTTTCGCTAGCTCCCCTCACGCCCGCAGTTTTTGTGCGAAACGCCCAAACGAGGGTCAACTGTTGTTGACTCTGGTTGGACTCTCCGCCTTCGCAACCTTCCTCCCAGCACCCAACTGGGCGGCTGCCAAACTGCCTGCGGTTCACCCATACAGTGTATTCAAGAGCACCGGGTTCCTGGAAGCACACAGTGGCCGACATCTTGTGTCGTGGTAACCCTTGCGTTACGCCCTTATCCACGAAACTCTGACTTGCCGAGTTCGTCCACGCGATTCCAGTTTCAGCCTAAAAAGATCCCATCGAGTTGATTTTTCTGCATGTGCTCACGTCTACTATCAAACCCACACACAAATCAGAAAGAGTCTCACTTTCACCCAACCTTGCTCCCACAAGATCAACAGCAGGGAGACATGTCGTCGTTTCGTGCTCTTATGCGACTTGGGCGGCTCAAGTTCATTCCGTACTCGTCCATGCTCGCCCTCATGGGCGCGCTCTCACGTGACATCAGCCACAACCACGGGTTTCGTTTTCGCATTGAGAGCTTCGTTCCCGTGGCGCTCTTCGTAGCATGCACGCACGTCATGACGCATTACTACAACGAATACTTCGACTACGAAGCCGATCTCGCGAACAAGCACCGCGGAAAGTGGAATGGCGGCTCGGGCGTGCTTCCCGAGGGCCTGCTGCCGCGCTGGTTGGCGCTCGCCGCGGCGAACGTGCTGCTCATCGGCAGCGTCGTCACGCAGCTCGCCTTCTTCCGCGCCCCCGCGCAATGCGTCGCGTGCGCGACGCTGTTCCTCTCGTGGGCGTACACCGCGCCGCCGTTCAAGCTCCACTATCGCGGCTTGGGCGAAGCGACCGTTGCCGCCGTGCTGACGTGCAGTGTTCCCGTGATGGGCGCGCTGCAGCGCCGCGACGACGACGCGTTCGTGCTTCCGACGTCGCTGCGCGCAATCATCCCGCTGCTGTGCGCGCAGCAGATGGTGCGCATGATGATAATGAACCTCCCCGACATCGACTCCGACCTTCAGTGCGGCAAAATCACGTTGACCGCGCGATTGGGGCCAGAGCGGGTTGCGCGTTTGTACCGATTCACGCAAAATGCGGTTGGTGTCATGGCAGTGATCTTGTTCGCGTGTGGGCGCATGACGTGGCCCGTGCTCGTCGCGTTTCTCGTCGCCACGACCAAGGGGATCAGCTTGGCCCGTCGCCTAGACGGGATCGTCTTTGCCGTCACCAGGACTGCAGCAGGTTCCTCCCGCGACACAAAAAAATACGACGACGCCACGTCTGATCATACTGCTGCGGGAAAGCCCTTGAAGAGTACTATGGACTTTGGAGATCTTCCGTACCAGGCGACGATTCACGTGGCATCAACGGCGCTGATGCTGGTCCTGGCCCAAACCGTGGTGCTGATGATGCAGTGAGTGAAATCTTGCCATCCTGAGGAAGCGCTGAGGGGTAGAGGACAGTACCGTACCATTCGAGCACCGTAAATAATTGTACATATTCCCTAATGTACAGAGCTCGGAGTACCGTAGTATTGTGTTCTACAGCTAAATGTTGTCAAATTGATGTTAGTGGGTACAGACAGATATCTTGGATGCTGGTGGCGGCAGGGCATTCTTCATTGCATTGTTGCGCATCTAAGGGCGATTTCCGCTGTGGACACATGTCCCAATCGATGTGTCCCAATCGTTTCTACCGCACTGCATCGTATTACACCGAATTGCACCCTAGTTTCGAAATTTTCGCGTCTCTGGTTTAGTTCGGTTCGGAGCGGTACACTCGATTGGGACACGTCGATTGGGACATGTGTCCACAGCGGAATGCACCCTAAGGGCGTATTCCTACGGCCTCCTATCAAGAAACCACCTATCAAGATTGTACCTTTTGCCTGGTAAAAGTAGCGAGAGATTTTGGGTTTAGGGAATTTTCCAGTGAGAGCTTGATAGGAGGTTTTCTTGATAGGAGGATAGGAATACGCCCTAAGTTGCAAGGTGTTTTGCCAGTTACCATATGAACTCCAATCCAAACACTTGTGTGACCTCTGAGTCTGCCTGGAAAGCTACGGTACAAGCAACAGCATCCGTTTGCCACAGACACACACACAGCCTTTGAAGTACCGTAAAATACCGGCACACCAGAACAATACTGGCAGACGCTTGTCAACTAGGCACTTGCATCCCGAAATCCCAGTACGACCGTAAGCATGTCAGCCCAGATCCACAACATGTCAATCTTTGTCAAACGAGGACAAAGCAGGTCAACACAGGTCAAATCAGGTCCAGCAGCATGTGGTAGAGCATCCTGGTCCACTCATCCGGTGGCCCTGGCAAGCAGTACTGCAGACAGTCAGAGGGCGGCCGAATGTGCCCGTCGGGTCTCAAAGCGGTCATAGGGTCAACATCCAGGAACACGCCCCCAACTGCCTTCACCAGCCGCTTGGCCCACTCGTTCTGGGCGACGAACTCACCCCAGTGGTTGGGTAAGGATGAAGGATCCTGGCGTTCTGTGATTGGCGCAAGCAGCTGGTCGCAGTGGGCGTGGCCGGGCGGCGTGCTTCGGTAGATTATGAGGAGGTCCGGAGCTGTGGCTCTCACTTTGGTGAGCGTTTCGTTCAGCTGAGGAATGAACTTATCGTCCTCCACAAAGTGTGACCCTCGATTCAGTATAAGCACAGAAATGTTACTGCTGCTGTCGTTGCTGCTGCTGCTGCTACTGGAGCTGCTACTAGAAGGGACAGCCTTGATCTGGTCGAACCAGGGCAATGAGAGGGTTGATGCGTCCGCAGGTCCGGCAGCCGGATCCTGAGCTGCAGGATCGGTATTGGGCGGCGAGGTTCGGAGAACATCGTCCCGAACAAAGAGGACAGACGCGGAGTCGCCGAACGTGAATTGGGTGCAAACAGGAAAGTCCTGCTGCTGCCTTAGGTCCAGCCTGGCACAGAAATCCGGCACCTCATCACGCACCATGATCCGATGCTCCAACCCCTCGTACCCACCCCCCCCTCCTCCTCCCTTTTCTTTCCCCGCCCCTCCTCCTCCCACTCCTGGCATGAGCATGTGGTTGCGGAGCGACAGGAACAGCATGGCGCTCGTTTCATCCCCCACCATCAGCACCCTCCGCCCTGCCAGCCTCCGCGCCAGCTCACCCCTCTCCACCGCACCCCACCGCCCGCACCTCCTGTGCACCCTCCACCTGTACTTTACCGCGTCCCGAACCTGCCACTCCCGTGCGTGCCGAGCCTCGTCAGCCACAGCATCGGCAGCAGTGAAGGCCAGATTGCCAGTTTCGGAGGCTTGGCGTGACCAGGCAGCATCACACTCCCAGCCGGACCAACCCTTTCGGAGTTTAAACCAGGGGAGTTGGCGGGGGACCGAGTCCAGATCCCAGATGCCCTGGGTGGCCAGGCATTCGAAGCGCTGCTCGAATGATTTCAGGGCTTGTTCGGTGAGGAGGGTCGATCCTGGGATGACGGGCTTGGATTGCGTTTCTGGTTGTGCTGGTTGCTGTGGGTTTTGGCTGGAAAGGGGTTCGGCAGAGCCTGATGCGGCAGCACCGGCGGTTGTAGCAGCAGCGGCAGTTGCAGCGGCAGCGGCGGTTGTGGCTGTAGCAGCGGCGGCGGCAGCTACAGCTGCTGCTGCCCCCGGCCCTCCCTCATCCGCCCCCACTGCCACACTCACTGCCCTGCCGTGTGCTGCTAGCAGCTCTTGACATGCGGTGAAGATGCTTGACGATGGGTTGAGAGCGGTAAGAGCGGAGGAGTGGGTGGAGAGGGAGGAAAGGGGGGAGGAGGGGGGAGCGAAGTGGGAGACTTGGGTGGTGGGGGAGTGGAGGGAGGACCAGAGGAGGAAGAGGAGGAGGAGGGTGAGGGAGGAGAGGAGGGGGGCGACGAGAGGGGGAGGGAGGCGCGAGAGGGATTGCACGCAGAAGAGATGTGCCCTGCCCGCCTGCACGTGTGCCTTGGCGAGAAGGTCATGGGCGAATCTGGTGAGAAAAAGGGTAGCAAGGGGGAAAGGGGAGGAAGAGGGGGAAGGGGGGAGGAGGAAAGGGGGAGAGGGAGCAGGAAATGCGGGGAGGGGAGGGCCTGATGAGACAAGAGCATGCAGAAGAGATGTGCCATGCCCGCCTGCACGTGTGCCTTGGCGAGAAGGTCATGGGCGAATCTGGTGAGAAAAAAAATTGGCAAGGGAGGAAGGTTGGGAGGGAATGGAAGGGGGGATGCGGGGAGGGGAGAACCTGGTGAGACAAGAGCACGCAGAAGAGATGCGGCCAGCCCGCCTGCACGTATGAACTTACGAGTAGGACAAGTACGTACCTGATGGGGAGGGTGGGGGGTGGTTGGGGTGAGAAGAGGATGACAGGGAAAGAACGGGAGAGAGTGGAGGGGATGAGAGTGTTTGGTGAATATGAGAGTGTGGTGGGGATGAGAGAGAGGAGGGAATGAGGGAGTGTCATACATGAACCCCTCACAAACCAGGTGAGTGCATTGGAGAGGCAAAGGAGGGGGGAGCGGGGAAGGTTCATGGATTAGGGTTAATCTGGGCGGCTGAAGCACGTTTTATGGTAGCTGGATGAGCGAGCATACGACGTTCGCTCGCGATCACTCGCATTTGCATTCGCATTCATGCGTGTGTGAGGAATCCTTGTGCAAGGGTATGCCCTTACATAGAATGCGCATGCAAGCAGCTTCAGTGGCACATGCAAGTCGTTTATTCTCCAACAGTTTTTTCCCTTACCTTGCATTGGAGCGCACTTGCATTCGCAATCACATGCGATGTCGCATTCGCATTCGCAGGCGTGGGATAATCTGACTCTTTTTTCCCTTACATTTTCACGGACTCGAATGTGGGCGCGCTAAAGAGCTCCCCGCTTTGATACTTGCGCCAGACGGCCCCGACATTGTTCTTCGCCGTTTCGTACGAAAGCATCGCCCAGCGCTGCACCTGCATCGCCGCGTGACTCGTCGCCAGACGTCGCACGCCTCGCACCGGGTCGTCCACGCATTCGCGAAACGCATGTGCGACGCTCTCCGTGCCGCCACGTGGACTGCCTCCTCCATGTCGCGACGTCGGCGCCATGCCTGCTACCTTCTTTCCCTACGAAGGGGGTGAGCTCCCAATGGACCTTACGACTGCTACCTTCTTCCCCCGCCACACTCACTCCACAAGAAATAAGACTGTACCGCTTCGCAGAATTCTAGTCTAAACACTTAAATGAAGCACCTAGTCTAAACCGCTAGAAAGATACTTAAATGGATGTCGGTAAAACGATCCCAAGGAATATTCTATCAGTTACCCTCACACAGGTTGTAGACCCGCGTGGGAGCTCGCACAAAAGACCATCAATAATCTATAATGGTTACCAGATAAAAAAGTAGTACTAAATAAACAGCTGCACAAGCGGTGGAGTGCAGTTCTACTGGCCGCAGGCGACGGCGGCGGCGGTGGCGGTTGAAATACTGGAATTTGAGAATGTAGTCAACTGTAAGGTAGAGAGACCGTTAATAACCAATTTCCTAAACACTTATTAGTGGAACCAGCACTGGAACACTACTCCGACGTCAAGTGTTAGTCCATGAAGGTACCGGCGCGTACACGGACCAATCCGTAGTTCGGATCCGAAATGCAGCCGATTCAGCTTGTCACGACAGCCGTTCGGCATCCATCCTGAACCATTGATCGACGAGCTTAGTCGGCGTTCTGCTCGTCTTTTTGCAGAACAGCGTCAAATGTAGCTCCTCAGAAGGAGGTAAGACTATTTTGGGGTCTAGGCCGTCATTTGCAAGAAATGAGGAAATAGCCAGAGGAGCAGACAATGGTGGGTGACGTCACGTGGTTCTGGTTTGACTCCAGGCCAGGGAACGATCTCCTGGTTGGTTGGTTTGTGTGTTATCAGGGATATACGGCGACCCCTCTAAAAGTACTGCTCGGAATACACTAGCAATCAAACTCAGTAGTATCGCGATCGCGCTATTATCCAACAAATTATTTATGAAAAAAAAACACACAGATTTTTTACTCGTCAGCAGCACTAACAAATCAATATTCTAAAGGAATAGCAAGTAGTTATCTTGTCAAACATTACAACGCATCACATCAATTCGCATTAATGCTTGAAGCGACAGCTAGACCCATTTCGACAAAACCCTCGGGCAAAGAACCTACATGCTAAGCGATCACCCTCCCCTCCTCCGCTTCCACCACCCCCAAACCTTCCACTACCACCCCCACCACCACTCCACTCATCACCTCCTCGCTCTCTCCCCCCTCCCGGCCCTCGAAACGAAATTTCCCTCCTCCCACCACCATCCCTCCACCCGTCATCACTCCCTCTCCCCCGTCCCTCCCCTCCCCCTCGGCTTTGCCAACCCCCATCGTCACTCCCTCTCCCCCGTCCCTCTCCTCCCCCCCTGCTTTGCCAGCCCCCATCGTCATTTCCTCTCCCCCGTCCCTCCCCACTCCCTCGACTTAGCCACCCTCCATCCCCACTCTCTCCCCCCCATCCTCCACTACCGCTACCACTCACCCCAGTACCACCTACCCCAGGGGTATTTACCCCGGAGGCACCCGCTCCAAAACCACCTGCCCCAGAAGCACCCTGCTCCCCACCTTCCCAGCCCTGTCTGTTTCCCTCACTCCACCCTCCCCCCCACCCACTGCTGCCACCACCCCTGCTTTGCCACCCTGACCCATCACCTCCTCCTGCCCCCATCATTCCTGTCGCTCCTACTGCCCCACCAGCAGCAGCAACCCCAGGACCAACGGGTGTGCCTTGCTGCACCATACCACCATACGGCTGAGGAGCATTGGGGGCCTGAGGAACGTGTGGGGAGTGAGAAACCTGGGGAATTTGGGAAAATTGGGGCCCCACAGGTCCCCCCACCCCACCGCTTGGCACACCGAATGCTGCTGCCCCTGCTTGCCCCACTGCCCCTGCTGGTGGCCCAATTCCTGCTGCTGCCAACCCTGTTCCAACACTACCGCCAGCACCAAAAGCGCCGCCCATACCACCACCAGACACAGCACCAACACCAGCAGCACCAGCAGCACCAGCAGCACCAGCAGCACCAGCGGCAGCAGCCCAGAACTGCTGCTTCTCCCTCTCAAACGGACCCACCTTCCCCTCAGCCACCTCCGCCAGCAGCATTCCTGCCTCCGGCCCCTCCCCCACGCGCCACACGCGCAGGTCAGGTGGGAACACGTTGAGAGGCAGCCACCCGCGTAGGCGCGCGAGGGAGAAGGGCCCCTGCAGGTCGCCCTGGGGGTCGCGGTAGTGCCACAGCTGCTGCTGCTCCAGCCGAGAGAGCTCTGCTCGCCACGCTGATTCCAGCTCTGCCTGCTGCTGCAACTGAACCTGCTGCTGCTGCTGCTGCTGCTGTGGCTGCTGGAAGTTCAGCTGCTGCTGCTGTTGCAGCTGGGGGTTTTGATGGGGGTTTTGCTGCCAGTTTGAGAGGCTGGCATCTTGCTGGTTACCACTGCTCATCCCAAGCCTCTCCCTTCCAGCCGTCCCTCTCCTCCCTCCGACTGTCTCTCTCCTCCCCTCGCTCCCTGCTGCCTCCACTCCCCTCCCTCCTCCATGCCCTGTCGCCGCTCCTGCCCTCGCTCCTGCCCTCCCTCTCCCTCTCCTCTCTCCCCCACCCATCTCTCTCCCGCCCCTCTCTCCTCTCACCTCGCTCCCTATCCCGCTCCCATCCTCTGCTCCCTTCTTCCTTCTCTCTTCCCCAACCACTTCCGCCTCTCCCCTCCCTTTCCTCCTCTCGTTCCCCTCCTCTCCCCCACCCTCCTTTCTCCTCCCTCCTCCCCCCCCTCCTCTCCTCCTCCTCCCACCTCCCACGAACTCGATCCCCTCTTCCTTCCCCAAACCTTCCCCTCCCCCTCCCCCTCCACCCCCCTTCCCTGTCCGACCTCCCCCCATCCCCTTCCCTATCACTCCCCTTCCACCCTCCCCTTTCCCCATACCCCCACCCTCCTCTTCCCCTCTCCTCCTCCTCTGAGCGAGAACCAGAGAGAGACCAGGACATAGGAATAGCATTATCCTCCTCTCTCTTCTCTTCCCCTCTTTCCCCTCCTGCACCTCCCCTATTCCCCCAACCATCCCCTCTACCCCTCCCGCCTATCTCTCCTCCCCCACTCCCCCTCCCCCGGAACTCTCCTGCCCCTCTTCCCCCCCTGGGTCGTGAATGGGGGATGGGCTGGCTCCACGGGTCTGGGGGATGGGGGAGGGGGGAGGGGGAAGGGGGGAGGGGGAAGGGGGAAGGGGGAAGGGGGAAGGGGAATGGAGGAAGAGGGAAGGGCGAATGGGGAAAGGGGAAGGAAGAAGGGAGTGAGACTGAATATTTGAAAAAAGGATGTGCATTGCTGTTCAATGGGTGGAAACCTGATTCCATGTTTTTGGGAATAGGGGGAGGGGGAAGGGCAAGGAAGAACGAGGAAGGGCAAGGAAGAACGAGGAAGAGGGGCAGGGGAAGAGAAAGGAGGAATGAGGAAGGGGAAGGAAGAAGTAGGAAGGGGGATGGGGGAAGGGATGGAAGAATGGGGAGGGAGGACGACAGCATACAGCAGCAACCTAGCATTGCCAATCATTCTCGAATTCATACTGTAATCACCTCATGATGAGGACGAGAAGAGGACTTGGCTGGTTGCTCTTCTCAACCTCATCATCAACTCACCCGAGGACAAGTCACTTGAGTATCAAGCCAGAGCCTGCCTCCTGTCCCCCCCCCCCCCCACTCTTCCCTCCCTCCACCCCCTTGGCCCTTACCTGTCTGCTTGTTCTTCCGAGTCGACTCAAAAGTCCTCTTCTCATCCTCATCATCAACATCACCTGAGGACAAGTCACCAGGTATGACATTGCCAGGTATGACATTGCCAGGTATGACATTGCCAGGTATGACATTGCCAGGTATGACATTGCCAGGTATGACATTGCCAGGTATGACAAGTCACTTGAGTATCCCCCCCCCCCCCCCCCCCCCCCCCCCCCCCCCCCCCCCCCCCCAAAATCTTCCCTCCCTCCCTCCCTCCCTTTGCCCTCACCTGTCTTGCTCTTCTCGCCCTCATCATCAGAGTCTCCAGTAGACAGGTTCACGAGGTCCAGCGTCAGCCTCAATTGGTGGATACTCCCTGCCCCACCTCCCCTCCCCCCCCTTGGCTCACCTGTTTTGTTCTTCTCGCCCTCATCATCAGAGTCTCCAGTGGAGAGCAGCATGAGGTCAGGGTCCGCCTCAATGGTGGGGTACTCAGCCATCTTCTTGGCTTTAAATGCCGGCTTGTCCAGCTCCTTCTCTCCCTCCCTCCCCTTGGCTCACCTGTCTGCTTGTTCTTCTCGCCCTCATCATCGGAATCACCGGTAGACAGGGACAGCAAGTCAGGGTCCGCCTCAATGGTGGGGTACTCAGCCATCTTCTTGGCTTTGAATGCCGGCTTGTCCAGCTCCTTTAGCGCTTGCACACACTCCCATTGCGTGGCAAGCAGAACGGTTGAAAACGGTTGAAAGGGATCCATTTATTCAGCAACAGAGTTCCAGATTCGGTGGTTGAGGAGAAGTATGGGGAAGCAAGGGGATGGCGGAGGAGAATGGGGGGAGAGGGTGGCGGAAGAAAGGAAGAGGAGGTTGGGGCATGAGGGGGAAAAAGGATATCCAGATGGTTAAGGAACGCTTGGATTCATTGAGGCCAAGGCAAGTTGACTTTTGAGTCGATTCCAGATGGTTGAGTCGACTTTTGACTTTTGAGTTGACTCAAAAGTCAAATACATGTCCAGATGGTTAAGGAACGCTTGGATTCATTGAGGCCAAGGCAATAGGGAAAATTGGTGAGGTGTGCTTGAACAGCGATTGACAGCAAGGTTGGGTGGGAGAGGCTACTGCGGAGGGACGAGAACTGGAAGGCAGAAAGGAGAGGACAGTAAAGGAGAAACCGGAGCAGCAAAACAGGAACAGAAAAGCACAAGGTTGGGACAGGAACATAAAGGTGGCTACAGGTAAGGGGTGAGGTAAGGAAGGGAGGAGAGTGTCGTTGCAAAAGGGTATTCTTTCGAATAGAGTTAAGAAGAGTAATCTAGGCCGACTCAAAAGTTGAGCTAAGAAGTGAGGTACGGAGTGAGGTACGGAGTGAGGTATGGATTGAGGTACGGATTGAGGTACGGATTGAGGTACGGATTGAGGTACGGATTGAGGTACGGATTGAGGTACGGAGTGTGGTTAAGGAAGGGGTGAGGTGAGGTAAGGGTGAGGTGAGGTAAGGGAAGGGGGAGAGTAGTGTCGCTGCAAAAGGATATTCTTTCTTGGATCCTCGCTCGCTTGCCCTGTCCCTCAGATTGGTCAGCTTGACTCGCTCCGCCTCCAACCACTGGCAGGGGTGGGAAGGGGGGGGGGAAAGAGCAACAGCAAGAGAAACAGCAGAGAGGAGCAGGGGAGTAGGGAAGGCGTGAGTGAGAGTAGCTCGCTTGCCCTGTCCCTCAGATTGGTCAGCTTGACTCGCTCCGCCTCCAAGCAGTGGCAGAGGTGGGGGGAGGCAGCAAGAAGAGGGTCTACTGCTTAATGAGCACAGATCCACTGGCAGAGGTGGGGGGAGGCAGCAAGAAGAGGGTCTACTGCTTAATGAGCACAGATCCACTGGCAGAGGTGGGGGGAGGCAGCAAGAAGAGGGTCTACTGCTTAATGAGCACAGATCCACTGGCAGAGGTGGGGGGAGGCAGCAAGAAGAGAGAACGAACAGAGGAGCAGGGGAGTGTGAGTGGGGAAGGATTTGACTTGACATTTGCTCGCTTGCCCTGTCCCTCAGATTGGTCAGCTTCACTCCCTCTGCCCCCAATCACTGGGAGGAGCAAAGGGAACAGGACTTGAGGAATGGTACGGGGAAGAGGGGTGGGGACGGGGGGGAGAGGAGGGGAAGCGAGGGGAGGGGAGGGGAGGGAAGGGGAGGCGGGTTACTTTGTTTGGCTCATCGTTTCTTCTCATGACACATGATGCCATCTCTATAAATTACCGACTGGAAAGTGTATGGAGCGCTTTCATTCATGTTCGCAATTCAGCTTCGAATACACCACACCACACCACACCACACCACACCACTCCATACCACACCACACCACTCCACACCGCAACGCACCCCACTGCTCAACTCCACGCGGCACTCACATCGTTCACTTTGAGCTCATGCAGCTCGTTCTCCTTGGCTGCCACCTCGTCCTGATACATAGGAGAGAAGGGAGGGCGAGAGAGAAGGGACGGTGGGGGAGAGAGAGGATGGATTCAGCACAGACTGATTCAGCACAGACTGATTCACTTTGAGCTCATGCAGCTCGTCCTGACAAGGATGGAGAGGAGAGAGGAATGAAGGGCGAGGGATGAGGGGAGAGGGACGAGGCCGTGGCGTGGCGTGGCGTGGCGTGGCGTGGCGTGGCACAGCCTGGCCTGGTGTGGCGTGGCATTGCGTGGCAATAGCAACAGTGATGGCAAAGACAGTAGCAATGCAAATGACATAGGCACGGCAGAGCGTGTGGGCATTTGTTACTCGACTCACAAGCAAGGGAGCACAGCATGGCAGCACACACGTACCACAGTGAGTCGATCCACTAGCCCCCACTTCATGTACTGCCGCAACTTCTGACACTCCTCCTGTGTTGGTTGGGGGGGGTGGAGGTGGAGGAGGGACAAGGGAACGGGCAGGGAATGCAATACAAGTGGTGAGAACAAGGGACAGACAGCAGGTCGGTCCACTAGCCCCCACTTCATGCACTGCCGCAGCTTCTGACACTCCTCCTGTGTTGTGTTGTGTGGGCAGGTGGAGAGTGGGCAAGTGAAGGGGCAGGGCAGGGCATGCAACGCAAGTAGTGAGGAGCAGAAGGCAGAGACGGTGAGCAGAAGGCAGAGACGGTGAGCAGAAGGCAGAGACGGTGAGCAGAAGGCAGAGACGGTGAGCAGAAGGCAGAGACGGTGAGCAGAAGGCAGAGACGGTGAGCAGAAGGCAGAGACGGTGAGCAGAAGGCAGAGACGGTGAGCAGAAGGCAGAGACGGTGAGCAGAAGGCAGAGACGGTGAGCAGAAGGCAGAGACGGTGAGCAGAAGGCAGAGACGGTGAGCAGAAGGCAGAGACGGTGAGCAGAAGGCAGAGACGGTGAGCAGAAGGCAGAGACGGTGAGCAGAAGGCAGAGACGGTGAGCAGAAGGCAGAGACGGTGAGCAGAAGGCAGAGACGGTGAGCAGAAGGCAGAGACGGTGAGCAGAAGGCAGAGACGGTGAGCAGAAGGCAGAGACGGTGAGCAGAAGGCAGAGACGGTGAGCAGAAGGCAGAGACGGTGAGCAGAAGGCAGAGACGGTGAGCAGAAGGCAGAGACGGTGAGCAGAAGGCAGAGACGGTGAGCAGAAGGCAGAGACGGTGAGCAGAAGGCAGAGACGGTGAGCAGAAGGCAGAGACGGTGAGCAGAAGGCAGAGACGGTGAGCAGAAGGCAGAGACGGTGAGCAGAAGGCAGAGACGGTGAGCAGAAGGCAGAGACGGTGAGCAGAAGGCAGAGACGGTGAGCAGAAGGCAGAGACGGTGAGCAGAAGGCAGAGACGGTGAGCAGAAGGCAGAGACGGTGAGTCGACAATGGTGTCGGAGTTAAGGACAAGATTGATGGTGGTGGTGGCCTCTGGCGCCTTGAGATTCATTATGAGAAGCACCCTGTTGGTCAGGCCCTTGCAGCTCACACTCACACTCACACACACACTCACACACCCTGACCCACACGTTCACTCACTCACTCATACTGTAACTCAGTCGACTCTCACGCACCCTCGGTGAGATGACTTCTGAGTCGAGGTGACTTTTGAGTCGACTCAAAAGTCATACTGTAACTCATTCGCCTCTCACGCACCTCTGGCGTCTTGAGGTTCATGATGAGCAACACCCGGTTGGTCAGGCCCGTGCAGCTCACACACTCACACTGACTCACACGTTCACACACTCATTACTGTAACTCACATACACCCTCTCTCATTGCGTCTCACCTCAGTGAAGTCGGAGTTGGAAACCAGGTCAATAGTCGTGGCCTCTCTGGCGTCTTGAGGTTCATTATAAGCAGCACTCGGGTGGTGTTTACAATACAACAACACTCCCACGCACACATCCACATGCACAATCGAGTGTCCACACTCTCCCGCGCACCTCATGAAAGAAGGAGTGTTTTGAGACGTCTCAATGCACAATCGAGTGTCCACACTCTCCCGCGCACCTCATGAAAGAAGGAGTGTTTTGAGACGTCTCAATGCACAATCGAGTGTCCACACTCTCCCGCGCACCTCATGAAAGAAGGAGTGTTTTGAGACGTCTCAATGCACAATCGAGTGTCCACACTCTCCCGCGCACCTCATGAAAGAAGGAGTGTTTTGAGACGTCTCAATGCACAATCGAGTGTCCACACTCTCCCGCGCACCTCATGAAAGAAGGAGTGTTTTGAGACGTCTCAATGCACAATCGAGTGTCCACACTCTCCCGCGCACCTCATGAAAGAAGGAGTGTTTTGAGACGTCTCAATGCACAATCGAGTGTCCACACTCTCCCGCGCACCTCAGTTCAGTGAAGTCAGAGTTAGAGACCAGGTCGATGGTGGTGACCTCTGGCGTCTTGAGATTCATGATGAGCAGCACTCGGTTGGTGAGGCCCTTGTAGCTCACACACTCACTCACTTTCACACTCACTCACTTTCACACTCACTCACTTTCACATTCACTCACTTTCACACTCACTCACTTTCACACTCACTCGCTTTCACACTCACTCACAACCACACTCTCACGCTCACCTCTGTGAAGTCAGAATTAGAGACCAGGTCGATAGTCGTGGCCTCTGGCGTCTTGAGGTTCATGATGAGCAACACCCTGTTGGTGAGCCCCTTGCCCACGGGGTACATGTCCGTCTGGCTCGTGCAGCCTGTATGGGGGCGAGGGAAACGAGCGGAGGAGTGAGAGGAAAGGGGAAGGAGACGAGACATGACGAGCAGCACCTTGCTGGTCAGATCAGCCCCTTGCCCACGGGGTACATTTCAGTCTGGCTCGTGCAGCCTGCGTCAGGGAGAGATGCGGGTGAAGGGAGGTGGAAGAGAGGTGCACAACCTGGCGCACACCAGTTTTGAGAATTCTAAAAAAACAACCTGGCGCACACCAGTTTTGAGAATTCTAAAAAAACAACCTGGCGCACACCAGTTTTGAGAATTCTAAAAAAACAACCTGGCGCACACCAGTTTTGAGAATTCTAAAAAAACAACCTGGCGCACACCAGTTTTGAGAATTCTAAAAAAACAACCTGGCGCACACCAGTTTTGAGAATTCTAAAAAAACAACCTGGCGCACACCAGTTTTGAGAATTCTCAAAAAACAACCTGGCGCACACCAGCACCACCACCAGCAGCACCTACCTGTGATGCACACGAGGTGGTAGCACGCCTCAGTCTGATTGGCCGGACCCGGAACACGAATCCGCACAAAGGTGCCCACCAACTTGCGGCCAAACCCCTCATTTGACCCTGAACCCTGCCCTAACCCCACAGCAGCACCTACCTGAGACACTCACGAGGCGGTAACGCGCCTCAGTCTGGTTCCCTGGTCCCGGGACGCGGATACGGACAAAGGTGCCCACCACCTTGCGATCAAACCCCTCATCCGCCAGCAACCCCTCCAGACCCAACCCCACAGCACCACCTACCTGTGACCCGCACGAGCCGGTAGCAGGCCTCAGTTTGATTGGCCGGGCCCGGAACACGAATCCGCACAAAGGTGCCCACCACCTTGCGGTCGAACCTCTCATCCGCCAGCAACCCCTCCAGCTGGTGTCTCCTCTTCTGACCCATGCTCCCGTCCCAATCTCACCTGTGACTCGCACGAGGCGGTAGCACGCCTCAGTCTGGTTCGCTGGTCCCGGCACACGAATCCGCACAAAAGTGCCCACCACCTTGCGGTCAAACCCCTCATCCGCCAGCAGCCCCTCCAGCTGCCACCTTGGCCCTGAACCTTGGACTTACCCCAATCCCCACGCCTATACCTGAGCAACGAGGCGAGTTACTCGCTCGGACTCGGCCGAGTTACTCGTTTGGGTGCGAGTAACGAGCTTCGTTTTTTGTAAAATTTACTCGGCCGAGTCGAGCCGAGTATTACTCGCCGAGTTTTTTTTGCTCGACGAGTACTCGCTTGCTTTTAGGCGAGCATTTAGGGAACTCGCCGAGCATTTTAAGCCCTGTAGAGGGCATGGCCGAGCATTACTCGTACTCGGACGAGTTTTTCAAATTGCTCGCCCGAGTTTCCCTAAAGAAGGCGAGTAACGAGTATCTGTTTTGGGGAAAATTGCTCGGTCGAGTATTACTCGACTCGGGCTCGTACTCGGCCGAGCATGGCTAGGGACGAGTCGAGCATTACTCGTGCTCGACTCGTTGCACAGGTATACCCATGCCCCGGTATCACTCACCTGTGACCCGCACGAGGCGGTAGCACGCCTCAGTCTGGTTCGCTGGTCCCGGGACGCGGATCCGCACAAACGTGCCCACCACCTTGCGGTCAAACCCCTCATCCGCCAGCAGCCCTTCCAGCTGCCTTCTCTTCAGAAACACCCCGCCCAGATTTGCCAGCGTCACCGCCGCGTACCCACACTCAGGACCCGGGGGGGGAGCCGGGGGAGCAGGGGGGAAGGCAGAGGGGGCGAAAGGGTCGGTCACTTCAGGGACGTCTGGGTCTGAGGCGAATGGATCGGAGTAGCGGGTGTGGTTGGGTTCGGCAGCTGTAGCGGCGGCTGTAGCAGTGGCTGGGTCGTCTCGAGAGGCCTTGGGGGGCCGGCCACGCTTCCTCTTTCGCGGGCTTGGCTCTGGAATAGACCTTGAATCGTGGTCTCGAGCGAATGCATCTTCCTCCTCCTGTTGCTGCCGCTGCTGCTGCTGCTGCTGCTGCTGCTGCTGCTGCTGCTGTGCGTTGCCAATCTTCATCTGCTCTTCATTTTCTTCTTCTGCTAGGTCCTGTTCCTGTGTCACTCCTTCCCTTGAGCTCCAATCCTTCTCAAATGAATCATCCTCCTCCCTCCTTCCCTCCCCTTCCTTTCCTTTCCTCTCCTCCTCCTCCTCCTCCTCCTCGTCTCCCTGCTCATCCCTTTCCTCTTCACCGTTGTCATACTCCTCTCCCTCGCCTTCCATCTCACTGTAACTCTTCAATCTCTTACTACCTCTCGTCACACTCTCCCCTCTGTTTCCCCTCCCCCTCCCCCTTCCCCTCCCCCTCCCCCGTCCCCTCCCTCTCCCTCTTCCCCTTCCCCGCCCCCTCCTCCCACCTGTTTCCCACTCCAAATCCCCCCCTTCCTCCTCCTCCTCTCCTCCTTCCTCCTCTCCTCCTCTCGCCCCCTTCCCCTTCCCCTTCCCCTTCTCCCCCCCTCCCATCTTAGCAGCCTCTTCCTCTGCTAGCCGCTTCAGCAGCCGCCTAGGCACTTTTATAGAGCTCTTAACGGGGTAGTGCGTGGCGAGAGTGTAGTAGAACTGAGCCTGCGTGCTTCTATCGGTATCGCAGAGAGCTTGTAACGCATCGTCGCATGTGATCCATTTGCCCTTCTGCAATCACCACCAGTGACAGGGAGAGAGGAGAAAGAGGGGGGCGATGGAGAAGAGGACAAACAAACAGGGAGAAGGGAGCCCAACAAAGAAAGAGAGATATGCATGTGATTTAATAACACCGATTATCACCTGTTAGCACTTCTATAATGAACAGCAATTACTGCCTGATTATGATTTCTTGATGGAACATTGAGTACACCCTATTGATTATTCTAAGTACCAATAGCAACCTGGTAGATGCAAGGCTGCCTTATGTGTGAGCGCAAAGAGAAAGATACGTGAGGTGAGAAAGATGTATCATGGAGACGAGATGCAGACGAGAAAGATATCTCAAACATAGATGCAGACGAGAAAGATATCTCAAACATAGATGCAGACGAGAAAGATATCTCAAACATAGATGCAGACGAGAAAGATATCTCAAACATAGATGCAGACGAGAAAGATATCTCAAACATAGATGCAGACGAGAAAGATATCTCAAACATAGATGCAGACGAGAAAGATATCTCAAACATAGATGCAGACGAGAAAGATATCTCAAACATAGATGCAGACGAGAAAGATATCTCAATCATAGATGCAGACGAGAAAGATATCTCAAACATAGATGCAGACGAGAAAGATATCTCAAACATAGATGCAGACGAGAAAGATATCTCAAACATAGATGCAGACGAGAAAGATATCTCAAACATAGATGCAGACGAGAAAGATATCTCAAACATAGATGCAGACGAGAAAGATATCTCAAACATAGATGCAGACGAGAAAGATATCTCAAACATAGATGCAGACGAGAAAGATATCTCAAACATAGATGCAGACGAGAAAGATATCTCAAACATAGATGCAGATACGCCCACCCACCCGCACGCACGCACGCACGCACGCACGCACACAGGCACGACGCGTGCACCCGTTGCCTCAAGCACTCACCTGCAGGCCGTTGGCTTGAATGTATTATTATGTACCCTGCAACTATCCTCTTCACAGCCGACCAGTACAGAGGCACGTCCACACTCTCGCCTTGCAGCGGAGGAATGAGGACAACTGCGTTAACACACACTACCTTGCACCCTGCTGCCTTGAGCATTCTCGAGAGCTCACCTGCAGTCCGTTGGCTTGGATATATCCTGCAACAATCTTTTTCACAGCCGACCAGTACAGAGGCTCCTTCACACTCTCGCCCTGCTCCTCCAGAAACGATAGCAGTGCCTCACTCGCCCACCCAGGGTACTCTCCCTCCGCCTCCCCGCCTTCCTCCCCCGCCTCTTCCCCCGCCTCCTCTCCTTCTCCTGCTTCCTCGCCCTCTCCTGCCTCCTCCCCCCACCCTCCTTCCCCTTCCACCCCTCCTTCCATCTCTCCTTCTCCTCCCTCCCCATCCCCCTCCGCATCATCCTGCCCAGCCACCCATACCTCCACATCCCCCTCGTCCCCCTCTCCCCCCTCCTCCCATTCCCCCTCCCCCCTCTCCCGCGCATCCCCCCACTCCCTCTCCCCTTCCACCTCTCCGCCATCCCCCTCTGCTTCATCCTGCCCAGCCACCCACACTTCCACATCCCCCTCCTCCCCCTCCCCCCCCCTTCCTCTCCCCATTCCGCTTCTCCCCCTTCCGCTTCTCCCCCTTGCTCTCCGTAACCGTTCTCCTCCCCAGTATCCTCCTCCGCTTCTTCTTCTCCGCCTTCCCCTTCCTCTACGTACTCTTCTCCTTCTGCCTCCGCCCCCCCTTCCCCGTATTCCTCCTGCTCCCCCTCCGCCTCCACCTCCGCCTCCGCCTCCTCTTCCTCCTCGTCCCCCGTTTGTGTCACAACCCCCGTGTCCGCCCTGTCACTCTCCGTCCAGTCGTCCGGGCCCTCGGCAGAGTCACGCGTCGCCAGATCATCCTCGTTATTGTCGGCCGCCATAGTGCGTGCAGCGTCTGCGCCGGGAATTGTACGGCACTCGAACAAATGACGCGGGCCACAGGCGAGACAGACGCAATTTCACGTCTCCCGGCAATCAGAGGATTTCACGCGATTTTTCTCTTGGGTAGCGACGCGCCGTAGATTAACGTATCTGCTGCCGAGCCAACGGGAACCAGTGGACGAACCAAAACTCGTCGGTATTACGAACCAGGGTTGCCGATTCGAGTGCTGAGGTCAGCCTGACGTAAGCGCTCTCGAGTGCCAGACACTTGGCCCTGTTTCTCTCCTTCCCTGTTATTTCGTAATGATTTCTTCGACAGGTTTTTTGTATTTTATTTTTCTTTGTTGACCTTAGGACTTCGGAAAAAATGGTCAGGGGAATCGAAGGTTTATAGTAGCCGGCGTTTAAAAGCTCTTCTTCCCGTATCCCACCTTCTTATGAAACCCGTGTCCGCGTCAGATCGCGGCGTCCAGATGACAAATAGTTCCCAAATATCGCGGTCCGCGCATAAGATATGTGGATCGCCCTTGGTTCAATCCCTTTTTTTCATAAACTGAGATACGGTTACTTCGCCGTTCGCATATATTCTCCTCGTCAGATATTTATGTCCCGCCCCAAACAAACGCAAACCAGATCGATCAAAAGCAGGGTTGGATGACGTGTTGCGCAATATGTGAAATTTATTTCACAACATGATAACCATGTTTCTTGAAACAAGGCAATGGAGTCGCAGAAAGATAAGCGCAGACGGACGTAGCTCGCGTGAAGACCACATGTAAATGCTGTGAGAGAGAGGAAGTAGGCTGTTCTACCTTCCTCGAGAGGGTGTGACTTGAGAAACCTCACGGGATGAGCTATTAACGAGCGGAATGGGAGACGTGGATGGAAAGCAGGGTCGAGAATCATGACACAATCGAGCGTCCCGCTGATTTCGGCAGAGCAACTCGAAACATCGCTAATAGCAACATCGATAACTGCGTATATGCACCCAATGTTCTGGTAGCCTGGAAACTAAATAGAAAAAAACATCACTAGGAGGGATAACCGTCGATGTGAAGATGTAAACGGCCGAGATTACAAGCAGCTTTACTGGCCCTGAATGGGTGAAGCTAGAAAAGGTTCAAGTATTGACCGTCCATGTGACTGATTCTGGACGATTGAGATGACGCCTAAATTCGAACCAGGCTGGAATTAAAACCGTCGATAGACATGGTTACGAACGATCGAGATTCGAAGGTAAACTGGCAAAACGTAGAGCAAGAAAATGTTGGATGGCTGCGATCAGACATGCGCTGTGTCTCAGCTGGAAGAAGAACCGTCGATATTTGACATGCCCAAACCAGCCCAATACGTTCACTCAGCACTCCAGCTCGACATAGTGCAAAGTGCGTGGCGAGTGTACAAAACCGATCGGGAAATACAGAACCGATTATATATGTTCCCGCGCTGATAGAAATACATCAACTTCTAAAGCTGTGCTACACGCCTTCGATTTTCGACTCAGCAACGACGAGATCGGAGGTTGTCGAGAAACCCAAGCATCAGCCATGTCTTCCACTGACTTTCCTCTTGCACCCCTTCATCGTAGCGACAGCGGCTGCGGCAGGGACAGTGATAGCTTAAGCGAAATCGGAAGCGACACGGGTGATTCATAGTCGGGGCTACTTCAGCTGTCAGCGGCGCCGACACTCACGCTGTGTCCCGTTTAGAGTGGTCGATTACCTGCAGTAACAGAGGTGCTTCCGCCTTTCTTTCCGACACGCTTCCCGCCTTACTCCCCACTCGGACCACGAATCGCGGTCTCTGTCGAGCAAAGAGCCTTGTGAAGACCTAACCTGTGTTTCAGGCAGCCCTCATATGAGCGCGCGGAATGTTCCCTTGCCTTGCATCAGACTTTTCAGAAAATAATTCCACTGACACTACCTACCTTACCCTACCTTACCCTACCTTGTCTTACCTTACCTTACCGTTCCAAGCAACCTTCTTATGGGCTCGCCGGAGTGCGTTGCTTCGGCAGACCAAGTAACCTACCCTTTCAAGCAAGTTTACTGTAACGATGATTGTAACGGTGCTTCGTTGCGCGCAGATTTCCTCCAGGGTGACGGCAAGAATGGATCTTTCTCGTCCGCCTGTCGGATGGAGTTCTAAGTGACCGATCCCAGCTCTGTGAACCATACAAATCTTATGACCAATTTAAAACACCGATCTAAGTTCTTCCCAGCAGCGGTTAGCCCGAAGCTCAACGTGAGAGTAGCAGTCCTTCTCTTCGTGCAGTAGCGAGCTCTCCAGGGACGGCATTTGCACGCTGCTAAGTGCAGGTATATATAGATCATAGTACAAGCAAAGTCAAGAAGTGAGCAAGTGAGGCCAAGTAGGCACAAGACATAGCAAAGTACAAAAGCGCTGATGATCACAAGGCGGAAGTGCCTTGGTAAAGATATCTCCAGTGTTGGCCTCAGAGGCCACGTAAGCAAGGCGCAGCTGAACGCGCTGCTGCAGCTCACGAGCAAGGAAGTAGCGAAGAGCAATGTGCTTCGTTCTGTGCTCCAGTCTGTGCTCCCGACATAAGGCAAGCATGGCCTTGTTGTCTACGTACGAAACTGGAGGAGAACGAGGCGGCTCTCCTAGGTCAGTCAGCAGGTAGGTGAGCCAGCGTAGCTCCTGTGCAGCCATGGCCCCCGCGTAGATCTCAGCCTCACAGCTGGAGCCGAGAACGGAAGACGAGCGGGTAGACCGCCACGAAACAGAGCCGTAGCCAAGGCTGAAGGTGTAACCCTGTGACGACCGCTGCGTAGCCTGGTCGTCAGCCCAGGAAGCGTCTGCGTGACCTGTGAGGACCACTCGACGTCGCCCTCCAAGCACTAGCCCCATGCCCGACGTACTGCACAAGTAGCGCAACACCCTCTTCGCTGCAGCCATGTGCTCTGGTCAGTGTCTCCCAGGAGCAACATAGCGTGCCAAGATGCTAAGAGGGTATGCAAGGTCAGGTCGAGTGCAGGTCATCAGGTACATGAGGCAGCCAACAAGCTCTGGGTACGGGCCACTCAGCTCTACGGAATCATCCGAAGGCAGAGCTGAGAGCGAGTGGCGAGTAGACAGAGGAGTGGCCTGAGGCGAGGAGTACGTGAAGTCGAAGCGCTGAAGGACCTGCTTCACCATGTGTGACGGAGTCAGGGTAATGGTACGCTGTGCTCTGTCCCGGGTGATCTGCAAGCCAAGGTAGCTGCGCAGTTCACCCAGGTCTGTGCACCTGTGTCTCTTCTGCAGCTCGGACTTCAAGTGGGCGAGTCCAGCAGTGTCAGCAGTGGCAAAGACCAAGTCGTCGACGTATACGAAGATGTAGAATGGCGGCAAAGAGGTGTCGGTGCGCAGAAACAGCGACGGGTCGGCAGTAGACGGAGCAAACCCAAGAGCCGCAACTGTAGTCATCAGGGTGTCGTGCCACTCACGGGGCGCCTGGCGGAGACCGTAGACTAGCCGCCAGAGGCTCCACTAGGTACCAGGAGGAAACGACCTAGTGAAGCCTGGTGGGCGGCGCAGCCAGATCTCCTCGTGCAGGCTGCCTTGCAGGAAAGATGTGCTGAAGTCAAGAGAGTGAAGCTCGTAGTCGCGCTGAGCGGCTATGTGCAGCAGCACCCGAAGAGTGGTCATCTTCGGGGTGGGAGAGATGGTCTAAAAGTAGTCAACTCCCTGCCGCTGACTGAAGCCTCGAGCCATGTAAAGCGCCTTGAAGACAGGCGGAGAATCCGGCGGCCGCTTCACCCTTAAAATCCACATGCCACTGACGATGTTAGACCCAAGTGGGGGAACCTCGTCAACGTAGGTGCCTGTGGACTTCCAGGAAGCCATCTTTGCATCCATGGCTGAGTGCCACTGTGAGGAGTAGGGACCCTCGATCGCCTCAGCGTACGATCGAGGAGTTGAGATGTCTGGTGTATCCGGGTCTCCCTCAGGGGCAATCAGGGTTTACACAAGATGAGGCAAAGCAGCAGCAAAACACTGGAACTCCTCCTGCCTGTCCTCAAGGACGTTCGTGCTAAGAGCACACTCACCCCCGACGGACGGAGGATAGACAGACTCAGACTCAGCAACAAGACTAGCAGCGTAGTCTAGACGACAGCGAGCAGCTAAGTTGACAAGCTCAGCAACTAAGGCAGACGCAGCAGTGGACTCAAAAGAAGGGTCAGTGACAACAGTAGCCAGGAGACGCGTGACAGTAGGACTGGCAGCACGAAGAGAGTCAGACTCCGGGTCAGCAAGAGTAGGAAGAGAGGACTCTGGAGGAGACGGCAACGAGACACGCAGAGGAGCAGTGGAAGGACGCAGTGCCATCTGGTGTGTGCCGGGGACCGCAGGAGGACGCGAACGCGGAGCACGACCACTAGTGCGAGCAGCACGAACAGGCAACGCAGGACAAGACGCAGGCTCACGACGCTCACCAAGACCTCCAGTAGGACCAGTGTAGGGAGAAGGAGCAGGAAGGGGGGAGGCGGGCTGTAACTATGACCGCGACTGCACAGGCTGTGGACACTCTAAGGGAGGAGCAGGAGCAGTAGAGGGCGAGAGACCAAGAACCTGCTCAAGGAGCGGAACGAAGTACGGCCTCGGCCGCGCAGCACCTCCAGAACCAGCAGGGACTGCACTAGTACCCCCAGCGGCAGCACCCGCTCCAGCAGCACCTCTAGCTCCAA